AATAAATAGATAAAATTTGAAATAAATAAATAAAAATATTAATAACAAATAAAAATATTTTTTTTATTATAAATTTATTTGAAAATTATAAAAATTAATTTGATTTATTAAAAATATAATACTAATAATATATATATTATAATCATTTTAAGTGATTTGATATTTATAATTTAGCTTTAAATATATATCAATAAATTATTCAAAGATAAATTACAAGAAAAATAATATTTATAAAATAAGTAAAGAAGAGATTTAATTAACAAAAAGTGAAAATTTAAAAAAATCTAAATGTAATTTAATTTGCTAATAAATCTTGAAAATATAAAATAATATTTTTATAAAAATAATTTTTTAATCATTTAAAAAATATGATATTTCTAATTTATTAAATGAAAGTAAAGATAATTTATTATATAATTCTAATATAAAAATTAATCAAAATAAAAATTTAGTAAGATAATTGATAAAAATAATATATTAGCTAATAAATTAGAAAATGAATAAAAAATAAGTTTTTAAAATTGATTGCTAAAAAAAGAGATTGCTTATTTAACTTTTCTAAGACTTTTAAATCTGAAATGAAAGAATTACTTATTTTAGAGAATTACTTATTATTAGAATTTTATAATATTTATGATTCTATAAATAAGAAATTATATTATAAAATCTTAAATAATAATCTTTTAAAAATAATATAGCGATATAATATTAATAAAAATAATATTATCTTTTAACAAAATAATAATTTGAAATGCATAACAAAATCTTTATATGATTAATTTGATAATAATAATATCTATTTACTTGACTAATCTATTCAATTACCTGAACTTAATTCAATCAAGCATCTCTGAAATGAAATAGTTCATTATTTGAGAAGATCAAAGATTAACTCTGGGATGTGATACAAAAATTTGAATTAAAATTGATAATGCATTTTTAATAAAGTTAATTGAAAGCATAGAAGAATGCATTCAAGATGTAATTAATGCAAAGAGTGAATATACTAGGTGATAATTAATATCGGGGTTAAAATTTCATAAATTTATTTAGTTTATTGTGTAATTTTGAATTTTATTTTTATTTATCATAACAATCAAAAGAACCATTTCATGTGAATGTCGGGTTACTTTAATCCATATAACCGCACCTCGAATTTGTTTTTCCGGGTTGATCGGGTTGATTACATCAAGGATCGGAAGGAGTCCAGATTAGGAAACTCCCAAACTAGGTATCTTATGCCAAATCAACTCGTAGAAGTTAAACGATGACATTTGTTTTTTATGATTTGCGAAAAAAGAATTATATCGCTTTTTTTAGATTAGATTATCAATTGAATTGATGTAATAATGCATATATAATTCGAGCTCCTGCAAAATTTCGACGAGATAAAAAAGTCTATCCTTTGATTTAAACAATAATAAATAATGGGAAGTCTATCAAAAGAGGTACAACAACAATCACTTTCACCGTTTGGACATGCAGTCGCAGGTGCATTAGGTGCCTTGGTTGCTTTAACAATAACGTATCCTTTAGACATGTAAGTCTCCTTTTGGTTTTCCCCTGGAAAGAATATTACTTCATACGAGAGAAAAGACACCTGTAAAAAAAATACTTGAACTAGAAACCGAGATCAAGATATTAAAAATTATATATACAAAATTTCCTAGAGTAAAAACGAAACTTCAAGTACAATCTAAGTCAACGTCTATCGATCAAGATACACCGTATTATAACTCTACATTGGATGCGATCTATAAAATTCTAGCCACAGAAGGGATAACTGGACTCTACGCAGGACTTCCAGCTGGATTAATTGGAGTTGCGTCTACAAATTTTGCCTATTTCTACTGGTACTCTGCTATACGGTCATACTATCAACGTACACGCTCATCAAATCCATCAACGGCGGCCGAACTTTTCTTGGGTGCATTAGCTGGGGCACTTGCACAAATATTCACGATTCCTGTGTCTGTGATTACCACTCGGCAACAAACAGTCACCACGAGAGAACGCAAAGATCTTGTTGGGACAGCAAACGAAATAATCTCAGAGGATGGCGTGACTGGATTATGGAGAGGATTAAAACCTTCGTTGATTTTGTGTGTGAATCCCGCAATCACTTATGGCGCATTCGAACGCGCCAAGGCTGCAATATTGAAAAAACAGGGAGGGGAGGATTTGAGTCCAGCCAGTGCTTTTTGGTTAGGTGCCTTCAGTAAAACACTTGCGACCGTTGTCACCTATCCATATATTATGGCTAAAGTGAGATTACAATGGAGACCACCGAAAAGAGTGAATAAATCACATTCGAATGGGATATTATCATCATCTTACAAGTTTAGTAGTGATGATGATGAGGTTGTTGACGATGATTATACCACAAATATGCAACGATATACTGGAGCAATTGATGTATTGCGTAAAGTTCTTGCAAAAGATGGATTTCTTGGATGGTATACGGTAAAGAAATTCCTCTTGTTAATTGATTATTATTTAATTAGTCGGAAATTGATTGATTTGTCGAAAATTTATTGATAGGGAATGCAAGCACAAATCACTAAAGCTGTTCTATCCCAAGCCATATTATTTTATGCAAAAGAGTATACCACGCGGTATACTCTGTTAATGTTCGCATTTATCACTAGACTTTGGATAAGTCGTCGTCGAATGGAGATTTAGAATACTAATATTAGTTTAATTTCTTTTATTAATGAAATTCTTTCATATTATTCAGATTATGAATAAATGAAGTTAATTTTTGGACAAGTTGAACCAAATTCCAAAATGATTAGTAATTGAACAACCACACTGTATGATTAGTCTTTTGTTTTTTTTTTGAACAATTAATTTTATATAGAATAGATTAAATAAACAAGAAGATATCAATTATATTAACATTGAGATAACATGCTAAACACATCCTAACTTCCTCGAACCATAAAATCAAATCAATCACCATGACCCGAACTCACGTAAGTACGTTGTTGCATTGAAGCGAATCTATGTGGGGAATTAACTCCACTACTTTCACTATAATTACTCATAGCACTTGATGGTCTCGAACTTCTTTCATCTTCTAATCGTTGTTGTTGTAACAATCGTAAATGCAATTGGGATGAACTTGTGGCAAGACGTTCATAAAATTCCTCTGGAAGTTTTCCGCCATTCCTCGCTCTTAAATTCGCTAATGCCGCAGCTCTTCTTTTAGCCTTTACTTGTCGTCTCAGTTGTTCTTGTTCAAAGTATGACATGTATCGACTGCCGCCTTCTCCCCCATATCCATATTCACTTACTCGTGGCGGTTCTTGACCAGTCATACCATTGTGAACTGATGCTGTTGTCGATAACTTTTCCGACGAGGAATCAGTCAAAATTCCTACAATTATTTCAGAAAAACACCCAGCAGTTCCGCCGACGAAGAATCCGAATACGGCTGCAAAGAAACAAAAGCAGTATATGGGATAAAATATAGAGATCATATATCGAATAAGGGTAAAAGGTTTCCAGATAAAGATCGTGTACAACCCCTTAAGTACTGTTATCGCCGGAATCAGAATATAATGGATGAGTTTAAAGAGAAGGATAATAGTGTGGTAGAATAACGAAAAAGTATATTTAATTGGGTTAATGATTAGATGAAGATTATTTTCGCTGGTGGATTCTAATGATCCCGCATCCAGTGATGGACTACTACTAGCAGAATAAGTGGTAGGTTGGTTGTAGTCGGAAATCGTAGGAGAAGGAGGATGTGGATTATGATTGTTGTCATTGTTTTTATTAGTACTTGAGACTGTAAGAGTCTCGCGAATCGTCACTGTTTTAGTTAGAATTTGAATCGAGGCGCTCGGAATGGGATCTCGTTGAAGTTCATTATTTTCTTTCTTATATGGCGAATTCTCTGAATCAGAATCTATCGTGATCAGTTCTTCTTTCCTTGGTTCTGTAAGCAACGATTTCTCTTCCCCAAAAACTCCTCCCAATAACGATAGGAAACAAAGGGTGATTACCAGCGTCACCAATAATGTTGACCTTCCATTGCTCTTTCCTGACGTTAAAGGGTAACTATTAAACATATTTGACTTTCCTTATATTCGGAATGAAGAATCAAAAAGTTAAGCTTTCTTGGTGAACGCTTCTTTTCTATTGATGAAGGAAGGGATAGGAGGAGTTTGTTATTTTCATAGTTTCCACGGATAGAATTTAAAATGATGTTATCAAGGAATTTTTTTTCACACAGATCATTTCTTGTTGACATGTGAAGATAAATGCTTCTTTGTGTTACATTTTGCTTTTTATGAAAATAAATTAAACATCGATCTAGTAATTTGCATTGGTATTTTATTATTATTAAAAAGGGGTACCAGGATATCATATAATTACAACACCATAAAAAGTTTCCCTTGCTTTCATTGTTTCTCCACACGCATATAGAATGATTCTCAAATTCCTTATAACAAATAAAAATTAAAATAGAAAAAAAAATAGTTTTTTTGTGATCTCGTGATGATTTAATATTATTCTAAGTTGCCGTATAAAGAATTAATAATTATCTTCTTTCTCTTGTTGTTGTTGTAAAATGACGATGGTGGTGATGATTTATGATGAAGCTGATGTTGTTGATATTTGCTGTTGCTCCCCTCCTCACACACACACACACATTTTTTTTAATCTCCCCAAGCTAACACATATACATGCTAAACCGAGTAGATTAAGCCACATAAGAAAACATGTCTTTCTGCCCATCAACACGCTCTATATATTCTTTTTCCAATAAAACGTCGATGCATTTTTTGATATCTGGAACCTTTGGCTTGAACCTATTAGACAATTGTGATATAACTTCTTGTACCAATGTCACGTGTTTCAAGGTTTTGCGCGTCTTCATGATACGGACAATAGCAGCCTATATGGAAAAGAAACGAATTTATCATAATCTTCATTTTTTCACATTCCAAGACACAATTGATTAAAAATCTACAAACCTGCATGAGTAATTTTCTGTCTTCCTCGACAGTCTTATGCGTCTCTTCTACTTCAACTTTCTGTTCCGATTTAACTGGGACATTTAGTAGAACACGGACTTTTTTGCTACATCATAAAAATTTAACAGGAGATTAATACTAATCTTTATCTATATATATATATATATATATATAGATAACTAAATTTCTATTATACCTCTTGAAATCCATGTTAAGTGTGTATCGTGTTCCTGCATCGCTAACATTTCCACCTTCCATTAATAATACCTTAGCTTTCACTAAAGTACCAAGTTGTCCAATCAGCACATCGGGAGTCAAGTCTGTACTTTGTTTTAGATATTCAAATGTGTATGAAGTTTCCTTGTTATATTGTAGGAGGAGGCCCATTTGATATGTGGAGACCTTATATTTTAATATTTTGTTAATTGAATGACCAATTTTAAATAACCGAGCAAATGCAGATGGAAACAAATCTTACCTGAAATGTGTAACCTGTTTTTGAGGCTTTTATGTAGTTCGTTTTCAGTTCACCTTTCGATAAATGGAATAACCAGTTTAACTTTCGACCAGAATGTTTATTTTGATAAAACATTTTGAATCGCTGAAATGTTTTTTCCACCTATTTGTCAAACAATTCCCAATTAATCATTGTCATTAAAATACGAATCTTTTTTTATCATGATAAGATGGAGAACAATTCAAACTACACATACTTCTTCGGGAATATTAAAGTTTGTGGTCGATGGTTGAAGAGGCCACGATGCAGTACCCAAAACGAGAACTGAGAAATCGACTATTTATCGAGATAAACAGTTATATTTAATGGGAGAAAAAGAATTATCTTATATAATAAACGATTGCTTATACAGAATATTTACCATGTGACATCTCGTTATCCTTATCCATTTTGTCTCGGAATTGATCATTAAGATCTTTGCTTAAGCCCATATCAGTGAACATACGTTGTAATTTCGACGTATATTCGAAACCACAAGCTTCCTATGAAAAGCAATTTTAGGGATAAAGCATTAATTAGGAATTTTCCCTCAAAAATAAAAAAACAGCTTTAGTTATGAAAATAATCTAAAACCTTTAATTTCGAAATCATGCTTGACTCTGCGTCTTCTGATGCCGATGTACCATTCACCAAACGTTTAGCCAACATTTTAGAATAAAATTTCTGAAACACGTCTTTATCCTCGACATACTTAAACACAGTCATCTAATTTTTTATGAACGTTAATAAAAATGATTATTATACACAAGTAGATCGAAAAGTATACTAAAAGACCACTTACAATGCTATTAAGAACATCTTCAAGATCGCCTTCTTCGGGATTTTTTGCACTTTTTCGTAATAATGAATCGCAAAAGCGTGCAAGCAATTCCGGCGATTTGGAAGTCGACGATTTACATACTTCGTTTCGATTGACAAACTCACGACATGCCTACACATGCATATACATGTATTATATAACATGCATCAAAAAAAAAAAGGAGGATTACCATCCAAATTTACAAACCTTATCTAGTGAAGCAACGAAACCGGCTTCTCCCCGGAACGCATTCTGCACCATATCATTATATTTCTTGTGTACTTCTAAAAGCGCATCCACATATGTTTTAGGTTCCTAACAATGAATAATTCATACGAGAATGATGAGCCACCATACAATTGCAAATCCAACACAGTACTGGCAATAAAGTTAAAATCATACCATATTAGCATCGGCGCCTTCTGCAGCGATTTTTTCGATTGAACTGTGACCCGCTTTTCGCACATGCTTCTCAAATCCTTCTCGGAGTGGATCCAATCCATCCGGGATTCGAGATAGAAGCAGATACATGCGATGTAAATCTTTTTTATGATAATATACAAAGAAATGATTTATATGCACAGATGAATTATGACGATAAACAAGAGTCATAAAAAGCAGTAAAACGAACCATCTAACTTGTCCATATTCAATAAATTCTGAAACTCATCCCACATAATATCTGTGTGATCTTTTACCAAAACCGTTTCACATGTGGTAATCAGCTATAATTTAATTGAAACATCTCGAGTGAGTTTTTCATCCTACAATAATTACGTATTAAAATACTGTAAATAAACTTACATTTTTGAATGTAGTTGGATGAAGATATGCTTGCACACGACCTTCTTCTTCAAGTAACCGTGCTTCAGCCTATAGATGTATCATGATGAATCTTAATTAAATAATGATTGATCTTGCGACGAAAATCAAATTGTATGTAATGGATCGAAAAAGCGAACCTTCTTCATATACTCTGTTACACTATTTTCACTAACAAATTTCTCAGATTCGGTTTTATAATAGTTTTGCGTGGCTTCGACAAACGGTTTCTCAAAGTGATCCCGATAGACATCCAGCGTGGACTTAGTAGAATCCGCGTCATCAAGCCCAAGTGAGACTAGACGAAAGTAACGACGACGACAAAACGAAGAAAAATAATTGTTTCATTCAATCAATAAAATGCATGACAATAATGATCTATGATTATAGTTTTAATATTAATACTATACAGTATCAAGAAATTATTACCAAATGACTCAACAACAAGTTTTATAAGACCTGTTTCGACAGTCTCCCCATTTCTTTGACGTTGAATAAGCATCTTTACAGCATCCATCACATTATGTTGTACAGCCGAAAACATATTATCTCGCCAGCTAACCAATGTGAGCTTATTTCATTTATAAGAATGAGGAACAAGAAATTACGGTATCGTCAGCATCTTGGAAATAATGACTACTTGTTAAAATGAATACGAGTATAATCAATAGATAACTAACCGTGTAAACGTCATATACCGTTTTTCGTCCTTCATCGATTTCCCTTTTTACCCAATGACGATTGAGATAACGGAAAACGTGATGAACATATGAAGATGCAGTGGTATATTTTTCCCATTGTTTCGTATAGTAACGTAGTAAGTTCTCGTCCATATACTGTTCTGACTCCTATTTAGATGTAAGGAGTTATTATAAAGTATATGCATAAACTAATCTCGATTTACTTTCGAACATAAAATAAATCAAAGATCCGAGTAATAAATTACCGCACGAATCTGCGTTAGATGTCTTTCGAGATAACTTATGAGACGCGCATAGAGATCACTTCCCATTAAATTTGCGCCTAGAAAAAGAATTTATCACAAAAGAAAAAACAGGGAATTCTAAAAAATTCGAAAGAAATGTACCCGATAATCTTTCAAGAATTAACGATGAAAGGGTTGCATTAAATTACCTCGATTGTTGTTGATATTTGATCCTGGTCCAGCTAGCGGTTCCGAGGCGAACCCCGGATTCATGCGGCTACTCGTACAATAATTGTAGATGCCACTGTGTCATCATCATTAGAAGAGTTAAGAATAAAATAGGCTAGGTGGATGTATATATGTGTGTGCAATTTTTTGTAATAATCATGAGAATCAACGAGAATTTGCATTATTTTCGGTATTGTGCGTGTTCCTTTATCTCACAGAGGTATCGATAAAAAAGAATAGGTAAACGGACCCCTCAAAATTACAAACAACTTGGTAGTGAATTACTTCCAAGAATACAAAAGCCCCCCTGAAAGATCAAAAGAAAAAAAAAGTGGCGAAAAAAGCAAGGGTTTTTCTAAACTACATTAAGCAAAAAGGATACGTATAAAGATCCATGTATCGTTTATAGCTAAGCCCTTGCTCTAGCCTGTTCATAATCTGGTCGATGCCACTTTCAAGAAAACTCCATGTGGCTTCCAAGTCATTTGGAAGCGGAAGTGCCGTTCCGCTCGCAGACATTTTTCCCTTTTAGAGACAGACAGACAGAAACGACGACGACAACCTTTCCAGGAGTTTACCAATAATTATTATTTAAATGGCAAAGGTCTAAAAAAGGTGACAGCAAAAATAAAGGTTGGTGGTTCTTTTGTTAACCGGTCGAAAATTTCCGTATTAAAATTCTACAACTACCAATACAACTGTACATTATGTATATTATAAAAAAGAAATCGGTGACGTTTATGTGCTGAATACCGACACATGATCGACTGGCATCTGATTTTGGTTGGTTGTTAAGTAATTTCCCCAAAATTATCAATTAATTCCGGAACTCCGTGCAAAACAAATTGTTTATGTAATTAGCAAACTGCGGTCCTGCGGTTATATTAAGGTTTTTTGAGAAAGCAAATTTTTATTTTTTGTTTATAGGGTCAATCATAACTTCATATAGAAATTAAGAAAATCTGCCAATCTACAGATCAATTAGACAACTTATTCGATTGTAGGATACAGTAGAGGGAACAAAAACTTAAAGAATCAAAGTACTACATAATCAACTTGGAAACAACTATTTACTTATCACCACCGCCACACCCCAAAAATTCATCAACCTTTCTTTCGCCGCTTATGCTCCATTGCATGATCCATCGAAGGGGATATGTCTGGTGGATCAGGCAATGGAAGTGGGCGTGTTTGTATGGTAGGATTATTGTCCATTGTACTACTATTAAAAGGAGAAGGGGGCGTTGCCCTTTGTGGGGATAATTGAGATTGTTGTTGTTCATTATTATTATTACTATTAGTGTTATTATTATTATTATTATTGCTATTGTTGTTGATATTACCATTGACATTTGGCGGATTTAAAAGACTACTTTCTGTTCCAAATCCTAAAGATGACGATCCAGATTGTGAGTGTCGTCGATGATTATTATTACTACTTGAATGATGACTAGAACGATGATGATGGTTGTGATGATTATTATGCTGCGAATATTGTTTTGGTGATGACGATGTTGATGAGGATGGTGACGTTGTGGTCATCGTAGATTGATTTGATGAGGGTGTTGCAGCTGCTGAAGTTCTAAAAGCTCCTGATGATCTTCCACCACCGCCGCCGCCGCCACCAACAACTCGAGATCCTAGAGCTGAGCCACCGCCACTTTGTCCTCCCGATTCAGGCGAAGGATGAATCCGCAAATAGTTAGTGTTGTTATTATGCGAGTAATAAGGAGGAAACCCAAATTCGGGTAATACAGCCAATGGACTCGTAGAAGACTGTATTTTTGAAGGTCTATTTGGTGAAGTCGTAGAAGTACTTGATGATTGACGATAATCAGAATCGGTGTGGTGGTGGTGGTGTGGATGATGCAGACTACTATTACTGGGACTTTCGATGCCAACCATAGGCATTATATGCGACTGTGATCTTGATCCAGTATGAATATTATGTTCTCGATTACTACTACTATTACCACCACCACCACCGCCACCACCACCACCACCATACGGCATTGAATGAGAAGTTGTTGAAATTGTCTCATTCTGTCCTAATTTCGCCACTTCAACTTGCAATAAATCAACTATCGTAAAATGACAAAAAAA